TCCGCTGATGTTATCCCTGTGCGCTGTACACCGACGGGGCCCGTGCGAAGCTCTGGGGTTGGCCTGGGGCGGCCCGCGCAAGGTGGTTATGCTCCAAGGTCTCTGGCAACTGAATTCTTGTCGTTGCTGTTGGTGCTCTCCCTGAGCCCGCGCAGTCTTCTCCCAGGGCCGAGCTTTTCGCGCTTCTCCGTTTAGAAGTGCTACTTAAGCATACGAAATCCCTGAATGAGCTTCTTGCGTGCCAGGTCGAAGCTCACCTGGCTCCATGTGGGTGCTGGCCGGGCCCCCACTCGGCCCCGCGCGAAGCCCAAGGCCCGACCAGCGAGGCCAGTTGAAGATAACGCGGCTAGGCGTGATGAGCTCACTTACAACTTATCTGAAGGCCCAAGCAAACTGGTCTGGGAACGTTTCTACTGCAAGCGTGAATACCGCGCTGCGAATGCCAAGGTTGCTCTTGAAAACCGGGCTTGCCTGGCTCGGCACTTCGGTTTGAGGGCTGCCACTACTTATGTTGATGTTGTTCACCTTCCTAAGGTTGTGAGCTCGCCACCCTCCCCCCCTGTGGGTGGTGTGCACCAGGGCGGATCTGGATCGGGAGGGTCACCGCTGCTGCATTCTTCCCTCCGTGGCGAGAGGGGGGAGCGCAGGCTGGGATCGGCTAACGTTTCAGATTCTGCCCAAAGGCCTAGGGGCGCGGGGCTGGAATAGAGCACAGACAATCCGCCCCGATAATAACCACCCCGACACGCGAAGCCGTTTAGTAAACGCACCCAATGACGGAATCAAACAGGGCAGGGCTGTTTAGTAAACGCCCAGGGCCGTGTAATAAACGCCAATTGTCCAGTCCGGATGGCTTTTCCTCCCTTGAGGGGGTGACTCACGTAGGTCGCCCCGCTCCTTGAAGTGTGCGCTTGTGCCCAGCTCGACGCTTCCCTGCAGGGCGACGCGTTCCGAATCGACGTGTTCAAATCGACGTTTCCATCTCATCTCCCCACCCCAGCCCCCATCTAATATTGGCTACGGTCCAGGGGTCGCCGAAGCAGCTCGGTGGTGCAACATTTAGTCGATCGCCTGGGAGATCCCAGGCGGCTCCTCACCGCATGCCCCCAATATTAGGTAGGGGGAGGAGGGGGGGGGGGACGGGGTTCTCAAGAGAACCCATTTGCCCCCCCACCCCCACCCACCCCTCCTAAAGTGGTGCAACATTTTATCGACGTACTACCTTGACGGTGGACCTCTCACTGCACCGAGCTTGCAGACGTGCTGCAGCGAATTTGGCGTGGATTTCTGCCAATGCAAAACCCCGAACCGGCGAGTGAAAAACGAAGCAAACTTCGCGTGGATGATTATTTTTCGTCTTCATCCCTGGCCACAAAAATCCGCATGAAATTCACGTCGGAATCCGGAACGACATTCTCCAGGACACTCGGGGTCCATCCTATCGTCTTCTGAAAAGTCGGCAATGTCGTCGCCGTGACTTTTGGGCCCCCCGGCCCCCCAAAGCGGTGCGACACTCCGTCCACGCCCGCTCTCTGCGTGGGGGTGGGGGCAGCCCCCCGGGGGGGGCCGGTGGGGCGAGGGCCGGGCTCCGGTGGCCGCTGCCGGGGGGCCGCCGCGGGCCCTCTCGGCTCCCCGTGGAACTGCAAGGCCGCTTGGCTCCGTGATGGTACGCACGGAGACGTCCTCTTCCTGCTCCTCCTCCTCCTCCCTCCTCCTTCTCCTCCTTTTCCTTCTCCTCCTTTTCCTCCCCCTCCTCCTCCTCCTCCTCCTCCTCCTCCTCCTCCTCCTCCTCCTCCTCGTCCTTCTCGTCCTCCTCCTCCTACTCCTCCTCCTCCTCCTCCTCCTCCTCGTCCTTCTCCTCCTCCTCCTCCTCCTGGTACTGCACGCCGGTCGGAAGAAGTAGGTAGAGGCATGAAGTCGGAAGGCGGATAAAGCAGATTGGGTTCGGGCCCGCCGAATGAACGACAAACAACAGCCAAGCCAAATTGATTCTTGAAGTAGGAAGGCGCTTGAAGTAGATTGGGTTCAGGATATTCAAAAACACCTGCTTTCAACGACCGATACGTATATGTCCTCCACGGAGGCGCGCGTCCGACCCGAACATCTAAAAATACCCATCTTGTGGTATTATCGTTTCCCGAGCTTTATGGCCAGACCACGCCCGCCACGACGCACGTACTAGAAGATTTCTCGGTGCGCACGTCGCCCCTGGGTGGGGCGACGCATACATAGCAATAGGATGTTGGGGTGACGCCGACTCTGTGCTGCACTGCACCGTGATGTCCTGCACTGCGCCGTTGTGCTCTGCACCGCTCTAGAGAGCAGGAAGATCCAACCTCACAACAAGCACCCCGACAGGCGAAGCCGTTCGGTGAACGCACCCAGGGGAGGAGTCGAACAGGGCAGGGCTGTTTACGAAACTCCCGGGTGCCGTTCAGGAAACGCCATTTATCGGGGTCGTGGTGCTTTTTCCCCAATCAGTGCTTGCACTGAAGGGGTCCTAGCGGAAATTGAAAGATTTGGCGAACATTTCCCGCCGATTTTGGTAGCAAGCTGGGTTCCCGGGTTCCCGGTTCTGGGCCGATTTCGGTGGGTTCTGGATTCCCGGGCTCCCACGTTCCCGGTCGATCTCCTCAGCGAAAACCATCCACTGATTGGGGTTCTTCTCTGGTGTAATTTCTCCCCTGATGCTTAGCTCTGCGTCGGTCTGCTGTGGCTTGCACTGATCTCTGCACTCCTCGGCAACGCACCGGAGTGTGAACACCCTTGCCGTGACCCGCGCCCGCACTGGCGCGCACCCAGAGGAGCAAACACTGCACGGGCATGAGCTTTGGGATGTCCGCGCGGATCTCTTGGATCTGCGCCGGAGCCCCCTCCTGGGGCGGCCCAGGCGCCGACCCAACAAGTCCACGCGGACCTCCGAACGTTTCTGCCCATGCAGATTTTTTGTTCCTCGGGAGCAGCGCCCGCACTGGTGCGCACCTGTACACGCCAGCCGGAAGAAGCAGAAGGACACATGAAGCAGGAAGGCGGATGAAGCAGATTGGGTTCGGGCCCGCCCAACTAACATCAAAACGCAGAAAAGTAGCGATTCTTGAGGTAAGAAGGCGCTGTAGAGAAAGGCCGGGACCTGGGAGTCCAGGAAGACCTGCTCTCCAGGCGACCAGTGAGTTCTGAGCTGCACTGGAATGCTCCACGTCTCCACCGCCCCTCGCCCTGCACTGCACTGCCCTGGACGGGAGGGGCCGCGCCCGGCCGGGCTTCGGCAGCGAGGATGTCCAGCGGGAGCCCCAGCAGGGAGAGGAGGAGGAGGAGGAGGCGGCAGGAGTGGGAGGAGGGAGGAGTGGGCAAGAGGACCTCTTGCTCGAACTGGAGGCAGCATCCCTCGAGAGGCGGCCACGTCCACTTGGAGGCGCTCCGGCTAGAGCCCCACGGCTCCAGCTGGACTTACGCGCCCCACCTGCACCCGGCGTCGCCCGAGGGCTCCCTCAGTGCGCCCTGGGTGGCGAGGGTTTGGCGGCAGGCGGTCCCTCAGAGAAAGCGTGGGGGCAGGAGGAGGAGGAGGAGGAGGAGGAGGAGGAGGGAAAGGAGGAGAAGGAGGAGCAGGAGGAGGGGATGGATGAGGAGAAGGGGGAGGACGAGGAAGAGGAAGAGGAGGAGGAGGAGGGGAAGGAGGAGGAGGAGGACCCTTGAAAACCCAAGGGTCATCAACGATGTTGGAATAACCCCTCCATCCAAACTGCCTCTTCATAGACCCCCGCAACGGTTCATTTCCACCGGAAACTGCCTCGTTGGAAGGTAACCATTTGAAGACCCTGAAGCGTGCCAAAACATTGTTGTCGGGATTCCAACGTCACGGATCAACCTGACTGTTGCGTCTTGACGATCTTGAATCGTGCCAGAACACCATACCTGGGATTTCGGCACCGCAAATCAACGTGACTGTTCACCCTCATAACCCTGAGTCCTTCCAAAACACCATGTCTGGTACGCTGATCATGGACATCCGCAAAACTCTTACAATATTTACAAACGAATGTGCGCGGCGCTAACGCGAGAGCCACATGTTGAAAGCGAACCGCCCTCAATATGTTAAGCTCTTGCACTAAAAAAACGAATGCGCGCGGCGCTAAGGCGAAAGCCACATTTTGAAAAGGAACTGCCCTCAATGTGTGAAGCTCTTGCATGTTTTAAACACGAATGCGCGCGGAGCTGAAGCGAGAGCCGCATTTTCAAAAGGACCCGCCCTCAATCCGTGAACCTCCTGCAATTGTTTGAAACGATATGTGCGCGGCGCTGAAGCGAGAGCCACATTTTAAAAAGGAACCACCCTCAAACCGTGAAGCTATTACAAAATTTGAAGCGGATTTGCGCGGCTATGAAGCGAAAACCACAATTTGAACAGGACCCGCCCTCAATCCGTTGAGCTCTTGCAATTCTTTGAGACGAATGTGCGATGCGCTGAAGCGAGAGCCACATCTTAAAAAGGACCCGCCCTCAATCTGTGAAATTCTTGCAAATGTTGTTAAACGAATGTGCGCGGCGCTGAAGCGAAAACCACATTTTGAAAAGGAACCACCCTCAATCCGTGAAGCTCTTACAACTTTAAATGCAAATGTGCGCGGCGCTGAGGCAAAAACCACATTTTGAAAACGACCCGCCCTCCATTTGTGGAACCGTTGTCAAATGTTAAGCTTCAGGGTCCTGAATGTTGAGGAAGTCTCAGGCGAAACGCCCGGACCGCCCTAAAAACTGGCCTCGGAGTGTGACCGTGCAAAGTTACGCATGAGGAAAAGAAATGGAGGAGGAGGAGGAGGAGGAGGAGGAGGAGGAGGAGGAGGAGGAGGAGGAGGAGGAGGAGGAGGAGGAGGAGGACCAGGAGGACCAGAAGGAGGAGGAGGAGAACCAGGAGGAGGAGGAGAACCAGGAGGAGGAGGAGAAGGAGAAGGAGGAGGAAGAGGAGGAGGCCGCTGGGGGAGGAAGGCGCCGCCGGCGCCCGCCTCATGGGTGCGGGGGGCGCCCTCGCGCGGCTGTGGTTCACGGCCTCGGCCGCGGGCGCGCGGCCGGGGGCCCGTCGCGCGCAGGGGGGCGGGGGCGGGGACAACAAGGCAGGGCAGGACAAGAGCAGGCGTGGGGGGCAGGACCACTCCAGGGGAGGAACAGCAGCGGCCTGGCAACGGCGATGCGTCGCCGGTAGATCGGCAGGAGGGCCCAGAGGACCCGGAGGCTCGTGGACCTGCCGAGCTCACTGGATCCATCCTGGCAGTTTGTGACCTCAGCTGCGAAGGTTTCGGCGGGCCTCAGTGCGCGCGGGGCCGAAGGAGGGGCAAGCAAGAACCGGGATATCCAAAACAGTGCTACATTCCCCCTCCTCCTCCTCCTCATCCTCCTCCTCCTCCTCCTCCGCCTGTTCCTGCTCCTGCTCCTGCTCCCGCCTTGGATTTCCCGCCGATGCCTCCCGACTGCCTTGCATCCTTGCCTCACCCGTCTCTGGACAAGTACAGACAGATGTGTCGCAGGTACAAAGCTCGTACGTCGGTTGGATTGGACTCTATGCATCCACGTCACCATGCGCTACTGTCCGACTCGTCTCTTCTTGCCTTGTTTGGCATCTGGCGTGCTGTTCTGCGATTGGGTAGATTTCCTACCATTCTCGCTGTGTTCATCATGAATTTGATCCCGAAGACTGATGGTAGCGAGCGTACTGTGGCATTGTTCACGACGTGTGTGCGCACGTTCTCTCGGTTCTTCAGGCACACGTACGGTGTTATGTGGGCGCGCTTGCATCCTCGTCCATACGTGTATGGTGTGCGCGGTCACTCTTGTCAAGCATGTGTGTGGCGCATGGGCGTGCTAACGGAGCTAGCAGCTGCCAAAGGTTTGTCTGTGTTTGCACTCTTGCTCGACATCCAGAAGGCTTTTGAACAGGTTCGCCATAAACTTCTCATTAGACGAGCTAGTGAGTTTGGGCTTCATCCAGCACTATTGAGGGTTTTCCTGTCTCTGTATCGTTCCCCACGTGTGGTCACGCTGCGTCGAATTGCCGGGGAGTGGGTCAGAGCTAGCAGAACTATTGTGGCTGGTTGTTCCTTTGCCGATCTGTTTATGCGTATTTTATTGATGCCCGAGTTGGATTCCTTTCGTCAGTCTTATCCAAATATGCATCTCGGCCTCGTCGCCGACGACGCCCAGGTCCTGGGGATAAGCTCGGAGAGGGAGTTGCTCAAAATCGGTCCTGATGCGTCGCATCTTTTGATGAGCAAGCTGACTTTCTCGGCATGTTTACCGCTCTCCGAGAAGAAAATTGTGCTCTTGGCTACCGACCCCCAGCTGGCCCAGAGCATTGCAGCTGAAACCCCACGTCTCGATGGTGCCGTCAAGTTCTCTTGTCGCAACCTCGGGATTGACTATCAGCTGCGTCAGGGGCGTCGCTCTCGTATAGTCCTCAACGGTCGGTCGAAGAAGGCCATGTCTAAGGCCCGACGCCTCTTGAAGCTAAAGAGGGCTGGTGCCAAGGTTGCAGGTATTGTAAACACTAACCTGCGGCCCACGCTCATGTACGGCATCGATGTCGTCGGTCTGTCTAGCCATCATATTCGTCAGATCCGTGCTATATACCACGCTGGTCTCGGCACAGGTAAGCGTCGGTCTGTCACGATGGATTTGGCGTTGCATGGTGTTACCGACCCTGCGATTGATGCACATGCCGAAGTTATTCGTCTCTGGACTGTCTCTAGATGGGATTCTCTCCTACCCGTCGGTATGATAGACCAAGTTTTCCAGGCAGCCTACGCCAAGGTGACGCCAGATACCCCGTGGACTGAATTGCAGGGCCCAGGACAAATTTTGGTTGCCACTATGCGTAGGATTGGGTGGTCTGCGGTTTCGCCTACAATATGGCGGAATTCTCTTGGAACCGATGTTGGTATTTCGTCGACTTCCCCTCGTGAGGTGGTTGCATTGGTGACTCGCGACGCGTCTGTTTGGGCTTGGAAACAGGCCTCTGAGCGTCACCCATCCTTCAGTCACCTGCCTGGCCCCCCCTTCCTGCCTCCTCTGCTTTCCCTCCTGTCTAAAAAGACTGAAGGATGGGGAGTGCTCCAGCAACGTGCTCTGAGGACTTTTATATCTGGGGGGCATATACTTTAAACCTCGGTGCCCCATTTGTCAGATTGTCCCCTCCGACCCCGTGTTTCACACCATCTATGAGCGCGATGGGCTGTTGGAGTTTCGTCGTTGGTTCGGCCCGACTCCAGCCCTCACCCGTTGCATAGAGCAGTACCGCGAGAACCCTGTCTGGACAACCGCCATGGTTCCCGACCCGCGCGATTGCTCACTGCTCGCACCACCTTTCCCAGACCCTGTCTGGGAAGGGGCCGTCGACGGCCCCTTTTTCTCGTCGCCTGCGTACGGAGACGGCTCGGGAAAGCATGGCCCCTCGCCGCTCACTCTCCGTTGTGGACGGGGCGTTTGCTCATTTGCCCCGCGTAGCCGAAATGTTGTTGGTGAGCCCCTCGCCAATGATCGGCTTCGGCTTAGTGCTGGTGCCTATGGCGTATATCCCTTTCTCAGCCAGGATGTCTCAGGGGCTGAGCTTTACGCGCTTTTATTTTATCTAACCCATGCCGCCCCCTCCGACTGCTATGAGTTTGTCACGGGTGCCCAGTATGTCGTTGACGGTTGGGCAATGGGGTACGAAGCTACCACGCACGGCTGGGCCACCCACGCATCCTTGTGGGTCAGCGTCCACCGTGCGGCTTCATATATCGGGTATCACCTAATTAAGGTCACCAAGGTCCGTGGCCACTCCACCTCTGCGGGTAACGAGCAAGCCGACAGACTTGCTAACCTAGGTGCAGACCGACGCACTCTGGACACGGTCCTGCACGACCGAATCAAGCGCTCTGGGATGCTGGTGCGCAATCATGGTGTGTATATTGGTCATTGTATAGCTTGGATTTTTAAGAATGTGCCCAAAAAGGCTTGGGCGGCGGATTCTGATGAGATTCCCGCCCCCTCGGTCCCACCCCTAGTCCTCTCTGGTGCCTCCTCTGGGGCCTTGCATGAGCATTTCTGGGACCCTTCAGCGGGCCGTTTTCGATGCGTGAATTGTTGGGCTAGCTCAGTCCCCAAGAGCTACTTATTGCGATCTCAGTGCTCTTCTCCCACTGGCGGTGGGCACGTGCTCAGGCGGCTAAATAGTATCATATTGTGTCGCCGCTGTGGCCGCTACTCGTGTAAGAAGGTAGTTGGTTTAACTAAATCTTGCACTGGCCCTCCTCGGGCCTCTGGCACCATCTCACGGCTTCGCCGCATGTGTGATGGTCGTGACCCCCGCACTGATCAACCAGTCGGCGAGGTCTCTGCTGTTGACAACGTCAACGTTATATATGCCTTTTTCCTGACCCTCGTGATATCTGTTATTTTCCAGGCACTGTTTGATCCTGCATGGCTTTTAGAGGCTCCGTAGATTTCTCGGGGTTAACTTCGGAGGTGTGGGTGGATGTTTCCTGGGATATCTGGTCTGTCTCGTCTGTCTGATGCTGGCAGGACTACTCGGATCCCCGACAACAGCCGCCAGAAGTGTAAGTTCTGCAGTACTCCCTTTCCTGGCCGCTCCAGAGGACAGGTTCCAGGAAGTAGGTTAGGCTTGGGATAAGTGGGTACAGGGGCGCTGAGAAGCAGGCACCCGTTCCGCCTGCGCCCACTTATCCCCGACTGTGTTTTTGCCATGCCTCCCCCCGGCCAGGCTCGCAAAGAGAGAAAGACTCTTGCCCGCCTGCCGCGCGGGGGATATCAGTGCATGCTTCTCTAATCTATGCAATGATTCTCTCTGACAGTCGGACAGTCGAAATGTCTTAGTGCCGACACGTCAGGGTCGAGTAGGCCGAGGATGAGTGGGTACAGAGGCGCTGAGAAGCAGGCACCCGTTCCGCCTGCGCCCGCTCATCCTCCCTGTGTGCTGCCTTTTTTTCGCTTTCCCCCGCCCAGGCTCGCAAAGAGAAGAGAAAGTCTCTTGCTCCGCCTGCTGCGTGGGGCGACATCCTTGCACGCCTCTCTAGCCTTGCTGTCTCTGCCAGCGGAAGTGTTCCTGTGCCGATACGTCAGGGCTCGTAGGCTAGGCCGAGGATGAGTGGGTACAGAGGCGCCGAGAAGCAGGCACCCGTTCCGCCTGCGCCCACTCATCCTCTCTGGTGCTCCTTTTATCTCCCCCCAGCCAGGCTCGCGAAGAGAGGAAGGGCTCTCCGCCGCCGTGCTGCTTTTTCATGTATGTATGCTGCTGCCTGGCCAGAGGTTGAGGCTGGAAGCCCAGGAGCCAGGACGCGGGCTCCAAACTTTATCGCCAGTCTTGCCAGCATCGCTTGTCTCGGGCCTTCGTTTTTTCGTTGTCCCTGTTTTGTTCGGTTCGGTCCCTCGCTCGGCTCTGTTGGGTCCTGGTCCGTCCCTCGCTTCTTTCGGCCCCTCTTCGGGCCCCTCGCTCGTCGTTTCGGCGCCACGGGCAGGAGTGTTCGGCAGACGATCACCCGCGCGCAAATCAAAAAATCCTGCTCCTGCTCCACCTTCTCCTCCTCCTCCTCCTCCTCCTCTTCCTTTTCCTCCTTTTCCTCCTTTTGTTCCTCCTGCTGCTGCTGCTGCTGCTGCTGCTCCTCCTCCTCCTCCTCGCTTTTGTCTTCCTCCTCCCCCTCCTCCATCCTCCTTCCTCCCTCCTGTCTCCTCCTCCCTCCCCCTCCCTCCCCCCATCCTCCCTCCTTGCTCTTCCCTCCTCCCCTGCTCCTTCCCCCCCTCTTTCCTCCCTCCTCCCCTCCCCCTCCCCCCCCCATCCCCCATCATCCCTCCTTCTTCCTCCGTTCTTCTCCTCCTCATCTTCCTCATTATCCTCTTATGTTTCTGCTTCTGTTTCTTGCTATACAATATTTAATATTATGAGTGTTAATAAGAGTGGCAATGTCTGATCACTCTTATGTTCGTTAAAAGTAGCATTCGAACTCTTGGGACTCGTAGTAGCACTCTGTTTCTATTAGTACTGCAATAACTTTCATTATTCGTATTATTACGACCGAACAAACCATTACTTATACCTTGATATGAAGAAAATGAGTTGTATGACTCGTACTCGTAATACTTGTATTTGAATTATTAAACAAGAGCCCCTTGTTCTGTAACATTAGTAATGCAAGTATTGGTATGGCTGTCTTCTTATTGCTCATAGTATGTTTTCCGATGTTGCCGATGCACACATGTATCTTGATGCTCGTCTTCACGTTCGTTTCCATATTCTTAAACTATGATTCGTGTTCGCTTTGGCATTCGTATTATGATCATTGCTATTCCGCATCCCCCTCCTTTTCCTTTTTCCTCCCGCTCCCCCTGCTCGTCCCCTTCTCCGTCCTCCAAGGAGGATGTGGCGTTCTCTCTCCCTCCTTTCTTTCCCCCCCCCCTTCCTCCCCTTCATCGTCATCCTCCTCTTCCTCCTCTTCCCCCTCCTCCTCCTCCTCCCCCTCCCTCCTCCTCCCTCCCTCCCCCCCGTTCCCCGTTCCCCTCCTTCCTCGTCCGTCTCCGATTCCCCCTGTCATTTTGCGACGAATAAAAGCAAACCAGGCGCGTGATAGAAAAAGCCTCCGCTATAGCGGGGCGGTTGGGCCAAACCCGCTACAGACAAGGATTCACAAGTGAGGCCGGAGGAAGAGGCGCTTCAGCTGGCGGGCGGTGCTGCCATGGCTACAAACAAACAAGGGAAGAGGGGGAAAAGCGGCAAAGGAAGGCGGCAACGGCTTTTCCTTCTCCTTCTCTACCCCCTCCCCCGCCCCCCCATCCACTACAATACGTTATTTCCCACGACGACAGCGACGGCGGCAGCGGACGACGACACACTGCGAATACTCCATGGGGTGGGGGGTGAAGGGCCGGGCTGCGCATGCCCGCTGTGCCCGTCGTCGACGACGACGACGCACTGCGGATTCCTTATGGGGTGGGTGCTGCGAATGTCTGCTGTCGTCGCCGTCGCCGACGACGACGAGTGCAACGGCAGTCGACGACGCACTGCGGATGCTCCATGGAGGGGGGGGGGGGGCTGCGCACGCACGCTGTAGTCGTCGACGACAACGACAAAGACGATGTCGACGACGACAATGACGGCGACGCTCTGCGGATCCCCATGGGAATGGGGTGCTGCGAAGGCCCGCTGTAGTCGTCGTCGTCGTCGTCGTCGTCGTCGTCGTCGTCGTCGTCGTCGTCGTCGTCGTCGTCGTCGTCGTCGTCGTCGTCGTCGTCGTCGTCGTCGTCGTCGTCGTTCGTCGTCGTCGTCGTCGTCGTCGTCGTCGTCGTCGTCGTCGTCGTCGTCGTCGTCGTCGTCGTCGTCGTCGTCGTCGTCGTCGTCGTCGTCGTCGTCGTCGTCGTCGTCGTCGTCGTCGTCGTCGTCCGCCGTCGCCGCCGCCGCCGCCGTCGTCGTCGTCGTCGTCGTCGTCGTTGTCGTTCTCGTCGTCCTCGTCGTCCTCGTCCTCGTCGTCGTCCGTCCGCCCCCCCCCCCCCAGACGGAGTCGAAGACGACGACGAGGACAACGAGGACAACGAGGACGACGAGGACGAGGACGAGGACGACGACCACGACTGCGGCCCGTCAGTTTTCAGCCTGAGAGGGGGGACAGCTTCGCCTCGGATGTCTACGATCCTTGCTAAAACGTTGCGTACTATCCCTAAAACATCTTCTCTATGAAAGGCAATCGTCTCCTCGGCGGCTCACGCGACAATCCCCTGGCGCTTGTGATAAATACATAATTTCGCGCCCCGCGGGGGGGTTATTTATCAATATTCATCAGTCTTGAGAGGGAGGCCATCTTTCAATAATCACAAGCTGACATTGCTCCTCCACTCCTCCTCCCAGTCCCCCTCCCCCTCCTCCTCGTTCTCCCCCCCCTCCTCCCCCTCCCCCCCCCCTCCCCCACCCCCATCCCCACCTCATCTCCCTCCTCCCCGTTCTCCCCCCCTCCCCCCCCTCCCCCCCCCTCCCCCTCCCCCTCCCCCTCCCCCTCCTCGTCGTCCTCCTCCTCCTCCTCCTCCTCGTCCTCCTCCTCCTCGTCCCCGTCCTCCTCCTCCTCCTCCTCCTCCTCCTCCTCTTCCTGATCGTCGCACCGCCCTCTCCCCTCCCCCCTTCCCCCTCCCCTCCGCTTCGGCCTCCAGCTCCTCCTCCGCCTCCTCCTCCTCCTCCTACTCCTCCTCCTCTTCCTCCGCCTCCGCCTCCACCTTCTCCCCTACAGCTACTACGCAGTACAAGTACGAGTTGCTTCTGTCCCTGGGCAGCGTGCGGACCTGGTGCCGCCTCCTCCGCACACCGTTCTCTACACACAGGACTCAATAAGTGGATTTTGCACACATGCACAGCAGAACCGAGAACCACCGCGCGCGCTCAAGTTCTAGGTGGTGTCTTGCAGCCCAGTGTATAGCGCCCAACAGGAGGGACCGCGACCAGAGAAACGGGAGCTTCCGGTTTCGAGGTCAACGGTTTCGTTGCCCGGTGCGCGGGTCGGGCCAAGTGCTCGGCTCAGGGCCTCCGCGCTGTTCGACCGCCAGCCTCCGGGAGCGGAGGCGGGAGGGGAGCGGAGAGGCTCAGGCTCCTCTGGGTCGTCCGCGTCGCGCCCATCCGGCCACTGGGCTTGTGAAAGTGAGGCCTCTCAGACGCATCTTTGGGTCGCTCGGGGAGGCCTCTCGGATGCATCGCGGAAGCATTGTTGGGGGCCCCTTTGGGCCTCGTGGGGGCCTCTTGGGGGGGGGGCCTCAGGGGGGTATGTTGGGGGCATGCTGGGGGTCTGGGGGGCACTCCTTGAGGGAGAAGCTCCCCAGGCCCTATCGCTTTCCTCCTCTTGGGCCCCTCTTGGGTTCATCTTGGAATCTCTTGGGCCCTCTTGGGGAGTCCCAAAAGTCGACGTGGGGCCCTCTTGGGCCGACTTGGGGCCTCTTGGGTCGATCTTTGGGACCTCTTGGGTCATCTTGGGGGTCGGGGACCAGAAACACTGAGAACGCGACAATAACTTGAAGTTGCTCTGGAAAAAAATGCTGTTTCATCGTTGGGGCCCTCTTGGGAGCCTTCGGGGCTATCTTGGGGAGCCCCTGCACCGCCTCGGGACCATCTCGGACCACCTTGGACCGCCCTGGGGCCTTCTCGGGCCGTCGGGGGACCTCTTCGAGACTCCTCCGTGCTCGGGGCGCCCCGGGAGGCCCCAGGGGGCGGGAGGCGCAACCTTGGTGAGTGCACACCTGGTGCCCCTGGGGGTCCGCGGCCCCAGGGTCCCCCGGGGGCCTGGGTCCTGCACGAGATTTTGAGGCTCGCTGCGCCCCGCCTTTCCAGTCCGGGCCCCTGCATCTGGAGCCCAAGCTGTGAGCTCTGCATGCTCATACTTCGCGGGCTGAGGAGGGTCCGAAAGAGGTGAAAGCGTGCGAGTGGCTCAAGGACCTCAAGAACATCTATCGTCGACCATGTGGCTCCAGGCAGAAGTCCAGACATCAGTCCCTCCAAAGAGGCCCAACCTCTCTCGAGGTCTCTCTCTCCTCTCTCTCTCTCTCTCTCTCTTTCTTTCTCGCTGTCGCTAAAACGGATCCTGAGGGAAACGGGTTTGGACCCGAGAGCCTTCCCCCAAGACCATCTCTTCATCCTGTTCCGTTCTGTTGACAAACTGGAGGCCCGGGGAGGTCCCCGAGAGCCCGCAAACTGAGAAACACCTCAGGACCCGTTCACCAACGGACCCGGGCGCACGCTAACATGGATTAGTTATCCGCGGATTTGGTGCGTAGACACCAGATCCATGGATCGGGAAAGGTACCCACGACACATTCGGGGATGGACAGAACCCCCTTTAGTAAAACGTGGTTTAAAGAAACCGACCTCAGGCCCAAACCTGGCGGGCGCAAGCCTGGAAAATTACGGCCGCGGCACCCTCTCGAGAAACCGCAAACGGACAATTCACTGATCGACGTATCAGGGTGGGGGGTCTGTCCACCCCCAACACACGGGGCCAGCGCCGCCTCACCTGGCGACCACGCGCGCCGATGTTGGCGAGCGCTGACTCTGCATGGAGACGGCACCCGCCGCGGCATCCACGCGCCTGGATCCACGTCAGCGCCATCTCGCGGGACCCTCCCCGAGCCCCGTGGCGCCTGGAGCCGCCTGCCTGCCTGCTGCTGCCCGCCCCCCCCCCTCGTGGGCCACCGGAGCGCGGCCCCGGCGGTGGCAGGCGGGCGCGCCATGGAGCTGGCCGCCGGGTAGCTCTGCGGGGCGTACCCGCCAAATCCGCCGCCGCCGCCCCCGCCGGCTGCCTCTCTGGCAGGGCGACGGCGACGACGACGACGACGACGACGACGACGACGACGACGACGACGACGACGACGACGTCCCCGACGACGCCGACGGCGTCCACGGCGACGACGGTGACGACGGCGAGGACGACGGCGAGGACGACGGCGAGAGAGGGAGGGGGAAGGAGCCCCCATGCTCCCTGCTCATTCCTGCTCCTCTCCCTCGCTCCATCGCCCCTGCCCCTGCTCCTCCACCGGGGCGAGGACATCTATACACACCGTCTCCACGGCTCCCTGGCCAGGCCCATCCTACACCCAGCGGCGGTGTATACGCCACGCCCTCCTGGCTCGGCCAGGACGGCGTATGCACAGCTCCCGGGCCCAGGAAAGAGAAAAAGGGGGCAGTGGACAGGCATAGATCTCGTCGCCCGATCCACACCCTCCGACCCCGACCCAGCTCCCATCAACTCCCAAACCCGCGCCGATTGGCGTGCAGCCCGGCAGCCCACCAACAAAAACGAGAGCCAACGCCGTTCCAAGACCTCCGCGCGGACCTCCGCAGGGCATGTCAGATTTTGCCTCGGCTTCGGCCTCTGGGAGCCGATGTCGGGCCAGGAGACCCTCACAAGCATATCCAAACGTGACAAACGACCTCTGGGAAGTAACACTCTTCCTCCGCTGCGGTGGGCAATGCCTTGAGTGGTCAGGGGTCGCCCGTTTGGGAGCACTCTCCGCTGTGGAAATGCCGCGATCGTTCAAGGCTGGAAGATCCAGGCGGTGCCAGATATCGACGCGCAGACCGTCACGGCAGGAGGCGGCACAATATCGAGAGAGAAAAGGCTCAAAATGTGGATTCGAAAATCGGCAGTCCATGTTGCTAGACTGCTTTCCGCTTTTTCGGAGCGTCCGGTGGCGTTCTCGTCGCCACTTGGGTCTGCCTCGAACTTCGGCGCAACACGTGACTTGCATGAACCTGGGCACCGCAATAATCTGTAACGCGGGGTAGAAAGCAAACACGAAACGAAAGACGAGACTCGATGGGATACGGCCACAATTCAAAGGCCAATGACGATGGCGCGAAGAGCCAACATCTGCAACGCTAGAAGGACCAAGGTACATGGCGCGAAGCGCCAATGCAGTATGGTGTGTATATATATACATATATATATAGGTATAGGTCTACACGTTTGGATATACATATGCGCACAACCAGTCGTCTACATGCGCAGACTTCTACGCGTTACACTTGTGCATATACATATGAACATGTATATTAATGTACATTATACAGGGCTGGTCAGCGTGAGCCCAAAGCAGTGTGTTTCTAGCAATCTAGGTATTGCAATATATATATATATATATATATATATACATATATATATACGTGATGTACAACCCACGTGGTGCAATCTGTGCAAGTCAATAAACAGTGTGCAAACTCTATGGTACATCCTAGGTGGTGCAATCGATCTCGCGCAAACTATGTCGTGCAACTTACGTGGTGCATTCTGTGCTGTGCAACGTAGGTTGTGCAGTCCAGGTGGTGCATTCTATGTTGTATACACATTATGCAATCAATGCGGTTTGATACATGTTATACAAGCTATGTGGTGCAGCCTAAGTGGTTCAATATATGTGGTGCCGTATACGTGGTGTAGCCTAGATGATGCAATACATGTCGTGCAATATATGTGGTATAATGAATGCTGCGCGCTCTAGTTTGTATTAGCTATGTTGTGCAATCTACGTCATGTAACATATGCGGTGCAATTAATAATGAGCTGTCCACTCCACTGCTCGCGCAAACATCCCACCCACCCACCCGCAACTTGGTTTGCAAAACCTCTTAAGACCGTGACGGTGGGTACCAAATGGCACTTGGCAACGACACCGACGCCGACGACGACAGCGACAACGACGACGACGACGCCGCCGACAACGACTACGACGACACCGACGACGTCTCCAACGACTTCGACGACGCCAACCACGACGACGACGACGACACCGACGACGACGACGCCGACGCCGACGATGACGACGATGACAACGACGACGACGGCGGCAACGACGGCAACGACGAGGGAGGAGGGAGGACGGCGACGACGCGAACGACGAAGAAGGAGGGAGGATGACGACGCCGACGACGACAACGACGAGGGAGGAGGGGCGACGACGACGACGACGACGACGACGACGGCGACGAAATAGGAGGGACAACGACGAAACGCCGACGAAGACGACGAGGGAGGAGGGAAGACGACGCCGACAACGACGACGGGAACGACGACGACGCCACGACGACGACGACGAGGAAAGACAGAGGACGACGACGGCGACGACGACGACGAGGGAGGATGGAGGACGGCGACGACGACGACGACGCAAGAGCGCGCGCGCACGTTTTTGTTGAAAATCCGTGTTACGAAACCCTGTGTTTTTGTATGTTGTTTGGACACTTGATTTAGATATCTTTCCGAAAACGAAGGTGTTTTATAACTAAAAAGGATTTCGGCATGCGCGCGCGACGACGCGCGCGTGCGCACTTCGTGCCATTTTTGGAGAAGGTTCTCGCGACGGCACGCGCGCAAGGACGTTTGAAAGATCTCGGCATGCGCGCGCGAAGCCCTTTTGGCAGCATTTCTTGAAAATTCTGAAAAACCTATAGTTGTCTTATGATTTCGCAAAAACGCGCGGGTATTTTTTTTAGCAAATCAGTATTGCGAAACATTTTGTTTTTGTATGTTTGTTGGAAACCCGATGTTGGAATCCTTCCGAAATCGGGAGTTTTTGAAAGATGTCGGCATGCGCGTACGACGACGCGCGCGTGTGCACTTCGTCATACTTTCTTGCAAGGGGGTTTTTGGCAATGTATGATATCTGATAAACGAATGCGCGCGCATCGCATTTTTTGCAGAGGATGGCCGGGGGGACGATACCGGCTTGGCTGGGATAGTATGAACTCACAGGTCGGATGGACGATAGGCCAGAATCATATGCAAATTGCAATACGACAAGGTGACCCGTTAACCCCGGGGAGGGGGGTAGAGTCTATTTTTCTCTTAGTAAGGAAAATTAAATTCACTTGCCGAGCTCGACGTTGTCAACTCCAATGCTCGCGCAATCATCCCACCCACCCGCCCGCAACTTGGTTTGCAAAACCCATGCGGAAACGATTGCGATGACTGCTGGATGTTGGCTGGTGCATCTCTGCGGCCGCGCTAGCCCGCGCATGCTCGCGCGCGCAGCGGCCGGCTAGTTTGGCGCGACCGACGCGAACGCGTCGGCGCTGACCGCTCGGCACATCCCAGCGGGCACTTCACTGCGAGTCGGCAACTTGGGCGGGCGCGGTATCATCGCAATGTCGACAACGGTAGACGCGACGATGGTAGTAACGGTGCTGGCGACGAAGCTGACAGCGACGACGGGGCAGCCAATGACGGCGCCGATGCTGATCACGCCGACGACGATGACGGCGTCTTCGCGTCGGTGATGAAAGTTCCGGAAGGAGTTCATAATGCGCGCGCGGCAGACGCGCGAGAGTGGCCCGCATGGTGCTATTTGACACGGATCGTGCCACCCCAACGCGCGCGCAAGGGCGTTCGAACGATTCCGACATGCTCGCGCGAAGCCCGTTTGGTGGTATCCATGAAAATGTTGACAAACCTATGGTGTTTAAGGATTCGCAAAAGTGCGCGGAAATTTGCGTTGGAAGCCCCCGTTGCGAAACCTTGCATTTGTTTTGTGTGTGTGCGTGTGCGTGTGCGTGTGCGTGTGTGTGTGTGTGTGTGTGTGTGTCGGGCACTCGATCTTGAACTCCGTGCGAAACCGAAAATATTTGAAGGATTTCGGCACGCGCGCGCGACAGCGCGCGCGCGCACTTCGTCATATTTTGTCGCAAGGGACTTTTTGATAAACGAGTGCGCGCGCATAGTATCTGCCGCAGAGGATGACGGGGAGGGGGTCGATATTGGCCTGGCTGGGATGGCACGGTTCAGATTTAGGATGGACGAGGCGGCGGAATCAAATGCACGCTGCAATACGAAAAGGGGGGGCGATAATCCCGGGGGGTGGGGGGTAGAGTCTATTCTTTTTTTCCACCAACGCTCAACTTGAAGTTGCCCGCCCCACTGCTCGCGCAAACGCCCCGCCCGCCCGCCCGCAACTTGGGTCGCGAAACCCGTGCGGAAACGATTGCGATGACTGCTGGATGTTGGCTGGTGCATCTCTGCGGCCGCGCTAGCCCGCGCATGCTCGCGCGCGCAGCGGCCGGCTAGTATGGCGCGACCGACGCGAACGCATTGGCGCTGACCGCTCGGCACATCCCAGCGGGCACTTCACTGCGAGTCGGCAACTTGGGCGGGCGCGGTATCATCGCAATGTCGACAACGGTAGACGCGACGATGGCAGTAACGGTGCTGGCGACGATGCTGACAGCGACGACGGGGCAGCCAGCGACTGCGCCGATGCTGATCACGCCGACGACGATGACGGCGTCTTCGCGTGGGTGATGAAATTTTCGGAAGGAGTTCACAATGCGCGCGCGGCAGACGCGCGAGAGTGGCCCGCATGGTGTTATTTGACACGGATCGTGCCACCCCAACGCGCGCGCAAGGGCGTTCGAACGATTTCGACATGCGCGCGCGAATCCCGTTTGGTGGTGAAAATGTTGACAAACCTTTGGTGTTCTTAAGAATTCACAAGAAGGCGCGCGCAAGCATTTTTTTGAACATCAGTGTTGTTTCATAACTTTCCTGACGCTCGATTGTAAGCCCCCCTACGCAACCGAAGGTTTTTGAAGGATTTCGGCATGCTCACGCGACGACGCGCGCGCGTGCGTTTCGCCCTGTTTTTTTTTGCAAGGGATTCTTGAAAACTTATGATTATTGTTAAACGAGGGCGCGCGCACAGTATTTGTTGCAGAGAACGGCGGGGTGGGGTCGATGCCGGCTGGGCTGGGATGGTATTATTCCGTATTTCGGATGGACGATGCGGCAGAATCAAATGTAACTTGCAATGCC